TTAGGAATCACAGTTTTGGACTTGAACTTATTATATTCAACGTACAGTTTACGACCTGCAAAATACGACTCCATTAATTTAAGCCGATCATTGGAAATGCCAAAACGATCCAACTTATTAATTGTTTCCCTTTATCTAAAGCTTCCGAAATAAATTGTGTAAACGTAAGCAAATTACTGACTATGGATCTTCCCTCGAAAAATCCATGTTGAGCAGAGCTAATACACTTTTATGCATGATTAAGTATGCAAAACTGCAAAATGTTTTCAAATAACTTACCAAAATGTGAAGTTAACGTCAACTGAAGATTTTAAAATTAAATAGAATAAGAACACAAGTGGTGTAACTAAACATGAGGAGTAACCTTTAATTAGGAAACTAGGCATACCATCGGGACCTGAAGAGCTCTTTGCTTTCATTTTTTTGATAGCTTCGTTTACATCTTTATAGAAAATATGACTTAAATGCAAACAGTTGTTATTCAGTATAACATTCGACATATTGTCAGAACCCACAGCCGTTGACCTATTACCCTGTGCGTAGATCGACTTGAAATATTTACAAAAAGCATTAACGATTTGTTGTGCGTCATCTATTGCAACGTTTTCATAATACATCGTATTGGGTAACTTTGATTTCCCTTGATTTCTTGTAACAAAGAACCAAAAACCTTGAGGATTATTTTTAGATTCTCTTCACTCTGCCTAAGAAACCTTTTATATGATCTTCTAATGGAGACTTTAATCTGAGCCCTAAGTCGCTTGAATTCATTATTATGCTGTACTTCTTTCGTTTGAAGGTACTTCTCTGAACTTGCATTTCAATCTAATCATTTTTATTATATCCGATGAGAACAGGGAGGATATCTGGTTTTAGTCCCTTTACATCTAAATTTAGGCACGTTTATATCTACTTATTACAGAATATAAAATGTGTTAAGTGCATCATTTATATCATTATGACATTAACGCAATTTTGGACCGGCACAAGTTGCATCTAATTTCTGACCGACTAGTTTAAGGACGAGTAAACTACACAACATTGTTAATTCATATTTTCGTTTTTTATAAAATGTGCAAATGACTATATGAGTATAATATGCCTAAAGACATCGTTATTTCAGTACGGCAAAAAACCAAAATGGACAATAAGATTTAAAAAATGTCTAGGGCCATTTGATTATTACATTTTCTATATTAAATACATCATTTGAAATTTTCGCGTAAATAAGTTCGTATTTTTCGATGACGGCGATATTTTCCCCAGGCATAATCGTGGGCCAGTAGACCATACTTATCCGGAATATTTATGTCTGCACCATGGGCTATTAGTAATTTTACCATACCTAAATTACCTTTCGCACAAGCTACATGTATTGGTAACACTCCATCTACATCTGCAGCATTCACGTCCGCACCTTCTTTGATTAAAAACAATACTATTTCATCAGTGCAAACAGTCGACTCGCACGCGTAATGAATAGGTAGACGTCCACTTGCATCAGAAGCATTTACATTCCCACCATTGCTTACTAGTAATTTCACCAAATCTATTTCACCACTTTCGCACATGGAATGTATCGGCAGTAGACCATTCGGGTTTGGAGTATTTAAGCTGGCATCATGCTCCACCAACAGTCTCAGTACATTGTTATTAATTTTTCCCGCGAACTCAAAATCTAGGACGTAATAACTGCCATTTGTAATCGTGGATCCCAGTCCAGACGCAAAGTGTATCGGTAGATAGCCTTTTATATTAGGAACACTGATGCTTGCATCTTTTTCTAGTAGAAGGGATATTATTTGGGCACCAAACTCATCATTGAAACACGCAAAATGCGTTGGTAGGTTACCATACGAATCCGGAATATTTACTTCTGCGTCTTTAGCTAGAAGTAGATCTACTATGTCCACGTCACCTCTCTCACAAGCACAATGCAGCGGTAGTCTGCCAAAGTCATCTGGAGCATCTATTTTCATACCATACGCTATCAGTATTTTTAGTACATCAAGATATCCTTTTTGGCACGCAATATGAATCTCTAACTCATTATTAATTTTAGTACCATTCTCCAACAAAAAAATCATTGTATCTACGTGCCGATTTTGACATGCATTGCGCAAAAGAAATAGAGTTTTTCCATAAGGAAAATCTACCTTCGCACCATTCGCTACTAAAAGATTTACGAGATCTATTTTTCCAGACTTGATCGCATAATGTAGTGGCGAACAACCACTTGAATCAAGAACATTTAAATCTATATCAAAACATCTATTTTCGCAGGCATTATGCAAAGGTAGAAAATTATTCGCATCTGCAGTCTTATCAGTCTTAATTAGTAATTCGACAATATCTCCTGCTCCTTGCTCACACATGTAATGAATCGGTAACTTGCCATTTGTATCGGGAATATCGGTTTTTGCACTTTCTTTTATCAACAGTCTTACTGTATCTAAATTTCTACTCTTACAAGCGTAGTGTATGGGTAGTTCACCGTCTCGGTCTTTGTCATTTATTTTAGAGCCCCTTTTGATTAAAAATGAAACCGTTTCGCAGCTTTAAGAAACATATTTACCAGTATAATGTTCGGGCAATATTTCATACATATGGCAATAATTGTCACATGCGTAATGAATCGGTAATCGACCGTCTACATCTACGACATCGAACTTCGCGCCATTCGCGACCAAAAGCTCTACCACATCTACATCGCCATTTTGACACATATAGTGTATCGGAAATCTTACACTTTTGTCAGGTACATCTACTTTCGCCCCATTAGTTACCATTAGCTTCACCATTTCTACATCACCTTGTTCGCATATATAATGAATGGGCAAATGTCTTTTGCCATCCAGTACATTCAAATCTGCACCGTGTAACATTAACAGTTTTGCCAAAGCGAAATAGCCTTTCTCGCACATAAGATGTAGCGGCATCCAACCTCTTGGACTCGGAACATTTAATTCGGCACCTTTCGTTACCAAGAGTGTGATAAAATTTTTGTGTAAATTCTGACACGCATAATGTATTGGCAACCAACCTCCTCTGTCAAACACATTTATTTTCGCACCATTATCTAGCAAAACTTCTGTTGACCTTATTCTATTGTTTTTACAGGAATAATGGATAGGGAAAGAACCATTTGCGTCCGGAACATTTATGTCGCAATTAATACTGATGAGCGATTTTACTGTAAGCACATTTGCTTCAGCACATGCAATGTGGATTGCAAACCGCCCATTTGCATCAACAGCATCCCAATTAGAATTTTTTGCATTCAATAATTTGAGAGTCTTATGTAAGTTGTGCTTAGCAGCATAATGTGTTAGAAATTGACCTTTGGTGTTTGGAACATCGAGTTTAATTTCTACATTTAACAAAATATAAACAAAAATTTCATCTATTTCAAGAGAGCGAAGACCTATAGAGACTACACAAGGAAGATAACTATAAGATATTTTATCTGAGAAAAGTTTTTCTAAGATACGTTGCGATCTGTAATACATTGCCAGACTTAAAATACTGTCGAAATTAATGCTGTCAAATGCTTTTTTAAGTTCAGGAGAATGTTTAACGTAATCAAAAATTACAACAAAATCAAATCTGATCGCATAATATAAAATCACCTCTAAATATTTTTTATCGCAGTAACATGTATCGTAATATGGAATTAAAAAAGGAAAGAAAAGAAGCAATTTCTTGGTGCGAATGTCGACTGGTGCATTAATGCTATGAAAAATGTGTGATATTTGCCTAAAGTCCAAGTCATCTACCTGTCCTTTATTGGTATTAATTACCCATTGTCTGCGAAATTTGCCATTCCAAGTTATATGGTTTTTATTTTTAGGAAAAGCATAATTTTTACAGTGAGCACATGCCACCTCTAATATCTCACGACCTATATCATCTGTTTGTTTCAAATCTAATTCAGTGCATTCATCTAAAAGTATAGAATTTCTATACACAACTGCAACGAAACCTTTAGAATTGTTGAATAACATTAAGTCTAAAAAAAATCGGATATTATTGTAACGACCGTCAGACACGAATTTTTCATCCCGTGCCTTTGATGGATTAGTTTCAAAAAGATACAGAGCTGCAAAATATTCGCCATACGAGTTATGACTAAATTCAACCCCTCCATTACTTGCAAATTGACATATAAATCCCACAGCATCCCCCCTATTTTCTATTTCCTGCAAAAAACATTTTAACTGAATTTCGAAATCTACGTCAGTATTTGTCACAGAGATATCTTCTAAATAAAAACGAGCAGCTACAGTTTTATAGTACTTGATTTTAGCTTCCTTCTGGTTTTCAAATGTTTCAAACATGCCTTCTACAGATAAATCAAATTTACTTTTTTCTTGATAAAAAACTTTAAATTTTTCGTCTACGAAATGTTGATATAAATCGACCACCGTAAAAGCCGTGTCTAATAGACTTAAATATTTTTCTTTGTCTTTTAAAAACAACTCAGTCAGCATATAAATCTGTAGCGGAATGCCCAATATTTGATAATTTGGAAAAGACATGATATTTTTCTTAATTTTATTAAACGTTGTGGTTAAATCGTCTGCCGGGATTTGTAAACGTTCTTTAATGTAGTCGCGTTGTTCTTGGTCGTCGAATTGTGTTATATTCCGGGAAAAAGTACCTAACCTGTTTTCTAGTTTAGTTTTCAAATTGTTCCGGGAGGTTAACCACTGCCGTACGCCGCTTTTTACTAAAGTTTGCACCAAGGATAAAATCACTTCTAGAGTGTCATCTAAAACTTCATCCAGATCATCCCAAATTACTTGTATCTTATTTCGCTCCAGCATTGCTTTGAGTACTTGTTGGTCGATGTCGGAACACTTTTTTCTTATGTTGGTAAAAATATATTCCTTGAACTTTTCAGCGTCGGCTCCATTTTCTCTAAAATGCTTAAAGTGATTTCTGGCATAGATTAGGATCGTCCATTTTGCAGAGGAGGCGTTGCTTTTCAGACTCTTCATCTACGTGCTCTTCCCCATACCTGGTTCAGCACAGACAATGTTGACATCTTGCTCTCCACTATTAAAAAGTTGGGACTGGTGCAACGAATATATGTTAAATTCATCGTTCAAACGAAATCCTGCAAGTTCCTTGAAATGTTGACTTTGCGAATCATAATTTTCGCTTCGTATCCACTCCAAATATTGCTTGTTAAAGTAACGAAAATGGTGAACTTCCATTCTAGGAGTCTTCATTAATGCATCACTAAACTGTTTTAGCGAAATGTGTTTCTTGCATTTATAAATCTGTTGGGAATCAGAGGACTCCACCGCTTCTATTTCACCTATATTTGATATTTCTTTCAATTCTGTGTCCGGCAACAGATTTTCAAAATGTTGCAAGTCCGGCGCACTGCTGACAAGAACAACTCTTTTCTCACTATTACATTTTAAAAATTCGAAGTCTATTAAAATCTTCGACAGACTTCTTTCAACATGGCTAGGTGGTAAAACTTCTTTTTGGTTACCTATTGGCAGCTGACCTTCCAACATCTCGACCACTTTATCTGAAGTGATCAAAGAATCGATTTTTTCGCATTCTTCTAGTAAATGTCTCAAAGCAGTCTCCTTTTGTCCTTCTATAGAATACGTGAAAGTGGTCAGAATTTTTTCGTATAACTCCACTTGTTCTTTCAGATCGGACAATTTTTGGAACACATTCTGACCAAGTGTAGTTTTATTGTTCTCATCGACTGATTTTGTCGCAGCTTTCAACATGATGACATTTTTGCAGCCAATTTTAAATGTTCCGTAAACTTGTGGACATTCTTGTACAACCAAAGGACATTTTCCAAGCAACCACATCAACTTATTCACCTTTAACGGATCGTCCCTGTACAGATCTTCTTTGACTCGGAGCGTCTTCAGAAAAAGTAAATATTTGCCATTAATTTTCCCCGCTTCTGTTAAATCTTGTAACTCGTTGATGGTGTCCGACCAAAGGTGACTAATTTTTTCATAATTTCTTTCGTCGATAATGCTGAAGTCGAATTTTGAAACCACCTCTCTAAAGATCGTTTCTTTTTCGTTAACAGATCTCGTGGCATCAAATGATAGTGGTCTGACATGGGGTGACAAAACGCACAATGTAATAAAACGCGTCATCCAGCTTTTGTCCAGCTTCAGTTTGTTACCCGCTTTCATACTCCACTGGGTTATAAACTGTAAATACTGGTTGACGATGGATTCGTCACACATAAAATTTTTCTTCAACATTTCACGTAGATCATTGGCAAGTTGCGTAACATCGGCTTGATCCGTGTAGAGGTAGAACTTTTCGAAAAACGCATCATATTTACTTGAACCGTCTTGATTATTTTTAAGTGTGTGACAGCAAGAAATTTTTCCTGAAGTATTCAGTATTTTATTTTCTTCGCTCGGTACAAATTTTACTGAAAGTTGACCGAAATCGAACTCTTTTGCCTCGTCCATATTCAACGAAGTGTTGGTAAACAAAATCACCTTGACATCTTGTTTCAGCCTTGAACAATTATTAAAAGTGTCGTAATATTTCTGGATGCCAAAATTTTTCTTTCCCGTCTTTGCAGTCAGCTGAGCTCTTCCTAAAGGAGTTTTTTTGTCGACGTGTTTCAACTGTATTGCGTATGTTTCCGTACGATCTTTAAATACAATGTCAACCACAACGTCATCGAAATCCCCAAAGTCTTCGTCATTTGAAGATAAGTAAAAGTTTTCGACGTCGTCATCAAGCGTCAGTCTTAAGATTAAATGTGCCATATACAGATGCTCGTAATCCTTGCCCTTATCCGTTGTGCCGCCTCGTTTCTTAAACTTCTGAAAAATGAATTTAATTGAAATTGCAATTTTATTCAGGACCGATTGTCTATTAGTCAAAATGTAATAAAATGATTTTTTATTATTTATTAATTTAATGACTAAATCCCTTTGGGCACTTTTAAAAAAAATTCAAAATCTACCTCTTTTACCAAGTTTTTTTGAAATATTTTGTTCCAAACTTCAGAAATACGTTATAGGTACTTATAATAGTTTACTTTGTACTGTGCATATTCAAATTCGTGTTTCAGCATGTTAAAACAGAAACGTTTTTTCTTTCTAAAAAAGTTGATAAATTTACGTGCAGCTGGTCACGGAACTTATCAATTATTTAGCAAATATCAGTCTATTTTATTTTTCATAAGAAAACTGGATCGCATAGATAACGTTATATTTTTGGATTCTAATCTAATCTTATGATACTACTTTTTAAGACGTAGAATTGAAATATTATAGACTAAAAGTAAAAAATAATTAATTTCACTAACTTTTTCTCCACTTCGCGTTGATGTGGTCGATTTTCCCTGGTTTTCGGAATCCACATGATTTCTTAAGGCACTCATTTTGTGGGAAAGAACAGATTTGCGTCAACTGATAAACAATGATAAATATCAGAACAGGGAAATATATTAACAGGTGGTGTTAGTAAGGCTGATTTAATATACCTACGACCTTTCCTTTAATCTTTATACCACAAAGATAATAATTTTTAATTAACTTTGTTACAAAATTAAGAAATCTTTAGATAGCCACTTAGTGGCATAAATGTTATAGTCCTAAATTTTAATTATTAACTTACCGTTAAGTACTACCCACGAAACGACTTACGAACATTGTATCTAAACTTGAGAAGAAATAAACTTAATTGAACAATCGAACTATTCGTGTTACGAGACACGTATAAAAGTTCATTTTTAGAATTAAAAAAATAACTTTATCTTATCAGTTATCAGTTATCACTGTCGGTTTAATTCCAATAGTCAGCAACTGTCGATTTGGTCCTGATGGTGTTCCTGCGTATATAAGTGTTGATTCTGTTAGTTGTTTTTTGGTACCAATGTCTTATATTTTTAGTTTAATTGTAAGAAAACTTCAATATCTTAGTATTGGAAAAAATAAGAAATTTGTCCTGTTTTCAAATCAGGGGATAGAAACAACATAAAAAATAGCAGAAAATATGATATGTATCTTTCATAATAATTTTTGTAAGCAAAAACTAGAGAAGAATTAGTCGTTCACTACAACAAGTGAGAATTATTGTGTATATTTTAATTTTAATTTCTAGTGTGTGTAGCGTATCAATTCATGTGCTTTTTCCTTTTTGAGTTTTGTCAAGCATAATGTGCCACTGTCGACAATATGTTTGTTGGTAGAATAAATCATTATTATTATTACAATGCAACTAATATTATCCAAAAATTCCAAAAAATGGAACAAGCGAAAAATCGAAAAACTGGGAAATCTCAATTTGCGTTAGTTTGAATTTGGCGCCAATGTGCTTTGTTGTGATTGGTGGGGACGGGTTTGGAAGCTGATGTAGGTAGTCACGAATCCTCTCGGGTTTCTCTTCTTCAAGTTGATGGACGGAAGGAAAAATAATAAAATTTAATTTTAAACACATTTAGTGATTTTATTGAAACATCATGGTGCATTAAAAGCTACAAAAAAATCAAAAGCTTGGGCATTCTGCTGCAGTTCTTCAACGAACACTTGAACTGTAGATTAAAAGACCTTAATGATAAATTTAGGATTGCATAATGTAGGGAATTATTGATCCTTGCTACAAGTTTCCAAAAAATCAACTATTTTACGAGGATTGCAATACTTAAGTGCATATTCGCGCGCCAACCACCCGTTCTTATCTGGAATATTTGTATCTGCACCATGTGCTACTAGTAATTTTACTTTATTTAAAGTACCTTGCTCACAAGCTAGATGTATAGGCAACACTCCATCTATGTCGCCCACATTCACACACGCACCGTTTTTAATTAAAAACGATACAACATCATCATTATAAGAAGAGTTGCTACAAGCGTAATGAATCGGTAACCGTCCATGTGCATCAGAAGCATTTACACTCACGCCATTCTTTACTAGTAATTCTACCAAATCCATTTCATCACATTTGCACACGGAATGAATCGGCAGCAGACCATTTGTGTCTGGAATGTCTAAATGGGCATCATGCTCCAGCAAAAATTTCACTGCCTTGTTACACACTTGCGACCAATTTCGCATAAACCAAAGCAATAGTTTGTCATTTTTCAAATCTGAAAGTATCCTGTCATTTGGTTCGCACGCAAAGTGTATCGGTAGATGGCCTTTTGCGTTAGGAACATTGACATCAGCATGTTTCTCTAGTAGAAGTGACATTATTTGAAGACCAAAATCGCGATTGAGACACGCATAATGCATCGGTAGATTACCATGTGAATCCGGCATATTTACTTTTGCATCTTCATCTAGAAGGAGATTTAGTATTTCCACGTCACCAGTGAAACAAGCACGATGCAAAGGCAGTACACCAGATGCATCTGGAGTATTTTTTTTCTCACTATATGCTATCAGTATTTTTAATACTTCGACATACCCTTTTTGGCAAGCGTAATGCATCGGCAACTGACTATCTTTGTAAGGAACATCCATTTTAGCACCATTCTCCAACAAAAAGCTAATTGCATCTAAATGTTTCTTTTTACAAGCATTCTGTAACAGCAATGGAGTTTTGTCATTAGGAAAATTGACCTTCGCACCATTCGTCACCAAAAGATTTACGAGATCTAATTTTCCAGTAGCAATCGCATAATCTAGTGGCAACCAACCATTTGAATCAAGAACATTTAAATCTGCACCTTTTGCTATTAATAACTTCAGGAGGTTTATGTTTCCTTGTTTACACACGGGATATATTAATAACTGAACGTACTTGTCTAAAGCATCTATATCAGCACCACTAATAACTAGAAATTCGATTATACCGATATGTATATTTTCACAAGCGTAATGTAAGGGTAAAATACCATTTGCATCCACAACATCTGTTTTCGCCCCATTTTTTACTACGAGCTTCAACATCTTTTTATTGCCCCTTTTGCAAATATGATGTACTGGAAGCTGCCCATTGGAATCAGGGACATTTATCTTTGCACCATTATCTATCAAAACTTGTACTAACTGTGTTTTGTGATGTTTACAGGCATAGTGGATAGGGCAGCAACCATTTGCGTCCGGAATATTTATATCGCAACCAAAACTGATTAGTAATTTTAGTGTGACCACATTTCCTTCGAAACAAGCATTGTGGATTGCAAACCGACCATTTGAATCAAAAACATCCCATTTAGCATTTTTTGCATTTAACAATGTGAGCGTCTTGTGCAAGTTGTGCGTGGTAGCATAGTGTGTTAGAAACTGACCTTTGGAATTTGGAATATCTAATCTGATTTCTACATTTAACAAAATATAAACGAATATTTCGTCTATCACAAGAGAATCAGGACCTAGAGAGTTTATGGAAGGAATTTCGCGATAAGATCGGTCATTTAAGAAAAGTTGTTCTAGGATACGTTGGGATCTGTAATACATTGCCAGGCTTAAAATGCTGGCGAAATTGATGCTATCAAATGCTTCCTTCAATTTAGGAGAATGGTTAACGTAGTCAAAAATCACCACAAAATCAAATCTGATGGCATAATAGACAATCAGTGTTAGATAATTTTTATCGAGGGAATACTTTTCGTAATCTGGAATTAAAAAAGGAAAGAATAGCAGTAATTTTTTGGTACGAATGTCGATTGACGTATTAATTTCATCAAAAGGATCTGATATTTGCATATAGTGTAATACACCTATGTCTCCATTATAAATTACCCAGTCTCTGTCGAAATTGCCATCTTTAATTATACGTGTTGCACAAGTATAATTTTTGATACGAGCACATGCCACTTCTAATATATCGCGACCGATCAAATCTTTTTGGTCCAAATCTAGATCAGTGCATTCATCTAAAAGTATAGGGTTCTTGTATACTACAGCGATAAAACCTTTAGAATTTTTGCATAGCATTAAATCTAAAAAAAATCGGATATTATCGAAGTGACCGTCAGAGATGAATTTGTTATCGCGTACTACCGATGGGTCAATGTCAAAAAGATACATAGCTGCGAAATATTCGCCATACGAGTTGTGACTAAATTCAACACCTCCATTACTTGCAACTCTACATATAAACCCTACAGCATCTCCCTTATTTTCTATCGTTTCCAAAAAACTTTGTAATTGATGTTTGTAGTTTGCATCGATTATTGTCACAGAGAGATTGTCTAAGTAACAACGAGCAGCTACAGTTTTGTAACACTTGAGTTTAGTTTCCTTTTCGTCTTCAAATTGTTGAAATATATGCTCCACAGATAAATCAAGTTTACTCTTTTCTTGATAAAAAACTTTAAATTTTTCGTCTACGAAATGTCGATATAAATCGAGCACGGTAAAAACGCTATCTAATAAATTCAAATATTTTTCCTTGTCTTTTAAAAACAATTCAGTCAGCATATAAATCTGCAGAGGAATGCCCAATATTTCGTAATTTGGAAAAGACATAAGATTTTTCTTAATTTTAATAAACGTCGCGGTTAAATCGTCCGCCGGAATTTCCAAACGTTCTTTCAGATATTTTCGTTGTTCTTCGTCGTCGAATTGTTTTATATTTCGCGAAAAACTACCTAACCTGTTTTCCAGTTTAGTTTTCAAGTTGTTCCGTGATGTTAACCATTGTTGTACCCCGCTTTGTGCTAAAGTCTGTACTAAAGTTAAAATCGCTTCTAGAGTGGCATCTGTAACTTCGTCCAGACCATCCCAAATTACTTGTATGTTATTTCGCTCCAGCATTGCTTTGAATACTTGTTGGTCGATGTTGGAGCACTTTTTTCTAACGTTGGTAAAAATATATTCCTTGAACTTTTCAACGTCGGCCCCATTTTCTCTAAAGTGAGTAAAGTGATTTCTGGCATAGATTACGATCGTCCATGTTGCAGAAGAAGTGTTAGTTTTTAAGCTCTTCATCAACGTGCTTTTCCCCATACCTGGTTCAGCACAGATAATGTTGATATCTTGCTCTCCACTGTTAAAAAGTTGAGACTGGTGCAACGTATACACGTTGAATTCATCGTTCAAACGAAATTTTTTGAGTTCGTTAAAGCGTTGTCCTTGTGAATGTTCACTTCTTATCCACTCCAAATACTGATTGTTAAAATAGCGGCAGTGGTGAACTTCAACTTCTGGATTCTTGTTGAAAACAGTATTGAATTGTTTTAGTGAAAAGTGGTTCTTGCTTATATAAATATCTCCACGGTAGAAGCGCTTCATCCTTTCTCTTTCTATATTTGATATTTCTTTTATTTCTATATCGGGTAGCAGTTTCTTGAAACTTTTAAAATCCACAACACCACTAACAAAAATAACCTTTTTTTTTAAATTACGTTTCAAAAATTCCAAGTTTATTAAAATCTTTGTCAGATTTCTTTCGATATGACTAGGTGGTAGAACTTCTTTCTGGTCACCTATCGCCAACGGACCTTCTAGCATTTCCACCAGTTTATCTAAAGTGATAACAGATTCGATTTCGTCGCAGGCTTGCAATAGATACGTCAAAGCAGTCTCCTTTTGTCCCTCAATAGAATAGGTGAAAGTCCTCCGAAGTTTTTGGTACAGCATCACTTCTTTTTTCAAATCGGACAGTCTTTCAAACACTTTTTGACTACTTCTAGTTTTACACTTCTCGTCAACTGGTTTTGTTGCTTTCAGTAGGATTAGATTTTCGCAGCAAAATTTAAATGTTCGGTAAACTTGTGGACATTCTTGAACAACCAGAGGACACTTGTCCAGCAGCCACATCAACTTATTCACCTTTGACGGATCTGCGTTGAACAGATCTTTGACTTCGAGCTTCTCTAGGCAAAGGAAATATTTACCATTAATTTTCGTCACTTCTGTTAAATCTTGTAATTCATTAATGGTGTTTGACCATAGGTGACTAATCCTCTCGTAATTTCTGTCATCAATACTGGTGATGTCGAATTTTGAAATTACGTCTCTAAGGATCGACTCTTTTTTGTTGACAGATTTCGTGGAGTCAAATGACAATGGTCTGATATGGGGTGATAAAACACACAAAGCAATTAAACGCTTCATCCATGTTTTATATAGTTTCAGTTTTCTTCCATTTGTCATACTCCACTGGGTTATAAAGTGTACGTACTGATTGCAGACGAATTCATCACACATAAAATTTTTCTTGAAGATTTCACGTACATCCTTGACAAGCTGCCTAACATCTGCTTGATCCGTATAGACATAAAAATTTTCGAAAAACTGATCATATTCACTTGAGTTTGTTTGAGTTTTGTTGATTGTGTGACAGCAAAGTTTTCTTGACGACGAAGTCAACAATTTACTTACTTCGCTTGGAATAAAGTCTACAGTCAGTTGATGGAAATCTAACTGTTTTACATCACTACTATTTAACGAAGTATTGGTGAATAAAATCATCTTAACATTTTGTTGCAGTTTTAAATGTTTACTGAAAGTGTCATAATATTTCTCGATGCTAAAATTTCTCTTCCCTGTCTTGGCGGTCAGCTGAGCTCTTCCTAAAGTAGTTTTCCTCTCGATGTGTTTCAACTGTATTGCATATGTTTCCGTACGATTTTTCAATACAATTTCAACCACAACGTCGTCGAAATCCCCAAATTCTTCGTCATTCGACGATAAATAAAAATTTTCGACATCATCATCAAGGGTCAGTTTTAAGATTAAATGTGCCAGATACAGATGCTCGTAATCCCTGCCCTTATCTGTTGTGCCGCCTCGTTTCTTAAACTTCTGAAAAATGAATTTAACTAAACTTACAATTTATAAAATAATTTGAATTTTACTTTTTCTTCACTTCGAGTTGACACAGTAGATTCTCCCGGCTTTTCGGAATCCACATGATTTTTTAAGGCACTCATTTTTTGACTCAGAACAGATTCGTGTCAACCGATGTAGACTAATGAACAAAGATAAATATCAGAAAAGGGAAGTATTTTAATAGTGTTGATAATGATAACTCTGACTTTATTTACAACTTCACAATTATAATAATTAACTTACCATTACCGGTAAACCCGACTTAGAAGCATTGTATCTAAACTTGAAAAGAAATAAGAGACTAAATATTTTACTGAACGAGACACGTATGCATATAAACTTTTATATATTAACAAATAAGTTTATCTTATCATTATCACTTATCGAGCTGTTGGTTTAATTCCAATAATCAGCAACTTTCGATACGCACACTGGATTTCCCGGACAAGTCAGGTAAAGACTTCACAAGGCACACTAATTTCATGATTTATCAATCAACGATTAATACACACGAACAAAATCTTCATTTATTTATTTAAAATATTTTAGTGGCACTTTAACAACAATGCAGTGGTGTTTACAACAGTAACAGATGGCAGTGGAATTATCGATGAAGATGACTAGGAGAAACGTCGCATACGGCAGTCTTCCCGTTGTTGGGAATCCATTCCAGGAAGTAGCTGCTGTTGTTGTTCTGCATGTTGAGCATCTGTTCTTCTAGAAGAAGAAGAAAAGCTCAACATCCAGAACAAGAACAGCAGCTTTGTGGAATGGATTCCCCACAATGTGAAGACAGTCGTGGCGAACTTCTACATCTAGATAGGAGTAGTAACAGTGTCCAGAGCTAGCTTCTTACAGGAAATTCATTCCAGGGGACATCTAGCTTAGTATGGCAAAAATCAGGAATTTCCCACCCTCTGTATTACTCAAGTAGATTCTGACATCATCAAGTGTCACTTTTAAAATTAAATTGCCTGAAAAAATGAATTTAACTCAACACTATTCAGATTGATACAATATTAAATAGTAGCCCTTTTTATCGTTAGATTTCGGGATCACAGAAAAGCACCGACTATAATTCACCATGCTGTATATTTGTCCCATTACATAGATGTTCGGAAAACCGAATTAAATTCAATGAATAAAATTGTGCTTGAAAAACATTTAGTTTTACTCTACATTTTAAACTTTTATTTGGTAAAAGGAATATTTTTAAATCGTTTTGATTTAGACCTTTTTTCAATTTTCTTCGGTTTTGACCAAATTTCGAATGTTTAAAAAAAGAAGGTAACACACATATGAACGAGTTGTGCTTGCTTACCTTTCTCGGGTTGCTCATGTTGTTAGAGTAACTTTAAAACACGGCTTGATTGTAAGTTGGATTTAAACACGCTGAGGCGTACTTTAAATAAGCAAAATAAGGTAGCAATAAAAAAATATCTTTAATCCTCGATTAATTTAATACATGATTAAAATGTGGAATATGTGCCAGTGATTGGTTAAAACATGCACCTTAAGGGCTTAATCTAATCTAAAGGGTTATTGGGAATTAAGTTAAATTAGAAACATTTCCCGTGATAAATTAATTGTCGCTTTTGTTTGAATTTTTTGTATTTATAATTCCATTTTTCAGATAAGATATAACACGATCCCCAACGAAAATCTTGTTATCCAGAAAATCGTTTGTTTTTAATATTTCGTTTTCCTCATTTTTAAGAATTTGTTAATTCAAAATCTGTATTTTTCCAAAATGATGATGGCAACTAAATAACAAACTGAATATTTCGATGTACATATTTGCTCCCTTTTGTATTAAATAATCCCGAAAATGTTGATTTTGTCACCAAGCGACTGTCGAAAATCCCTAAACGAAAATAATTTTTTTAGAATATATTTTTAAAATTTATCTAAAATGCAAAGTAGACAGAAAATAGTGTATTATATGGCATTAATTATCGCATTCCCTGCGCTTATGTGCTAATTCTTGCCGTAATACCTTGCATTATAAACTAATATAATAATACACTGTTTTTAAATTCTAATCTAATCTAATTTAAAGAGCTATTTATTGAAGACGTAGAAATATTGAAAAAATAATTAATGTGAACGATAATTGTAACTGCATTTTTCTCCAGCCCTTCTGAACCCACATGGTGCTTTAAGGTACTCATTTTCAGAGAGAACAGATTTTTGCGAACTAATGTAAATTCCTAATTAAGAGAGATAAATATTAGGAAAGTTTTAAAAGAAGGTTTTGCCTTTTCTGTCTTGGTATTTATCGACACAAATTGGAATGACGAAAAATTGCGAAATCAAAGAATTGGAAACTTGTAGCACGGAAAAAAAAGAGAAATTGAAAAGCCGAAAAGTCGAAAAATCGAAACATCAAGATATAAAAAATGAAACATTGGAAGTTCGAAACGTTAAGAGATCGAGAAATAAAAAAGTCGAGAAGTCAAAAAATAGAAAAATTGAAAAATCGAAATAGGCCGAAATCGAAAATGTAGTTCAAAATTGGAAAAATAAAAAATTTAAAATTACGAAAATATCGTTAACTAAAATAAATAAAAAAATAATTCGAAAACTGAAAACTGAAAAATCGAAAAATCGAAAAATATGTAGAACAAAAATTGAAAAATCGAAAAATTTTAAATTCTGAAACTGAAAAATCGAAATAGTGACAAATCGAGAAATGGGAAAATAAAAAAATTCGTTAATTGAGAAATTCAGAAATCGAAAGATTGAAAATTTAGAAATGGGAAAAGTTGAAAAATTGTACAATAGAAAATTGGAAAGTAGGAAAATTAAAAAATTCAAAAATTGAAGAATTGGAAAATTGAAAAATTGAAAAATTGAAAAATTGGAAAATTGAAAAATTGAAAAATCGAAAAATTGAAGATAAGAAAATTTGAAAAATCGAGACATTGAAAAATTGAGTAATCAAAAATTTGGAAAATTGAAAAATCGAAAAATTGTAACTTTGTAATTGCAGACATTTTTTTCAAAAATCTTGAAATATGGGATAAAAATTCATAACGGATTGATAAATCATAACACGACCATATTTATTTTTAACATTTAAATAACATTTATTCGATCAAATTTTTGAAGGCATGAACGGATAAATTTTTATGAACGATTTATCATGCTTATGATAAATTAAAAAATCATTTAAAGGATTTTAGATTATTTATAGTTTCAAAGCTAAATTGCAAAATGTTGTTATAAAATTTTGATTTTTTTTCTTTCAAAAATTTACAGGTCTAGGGTAAAAACTCAACACAGATTCATAAACCATATGTGCAGGACTTTCTTATTTTATACAACTTAGAGAATGTTTATTAATGTAAATTTTAGAGATGACGTGATCCTATTTTTGGTGGAGATGACTAGCCAAAAAAATGAATGATGAATAATACCTACCACACGACGTTTAATTTTGTAGTTCGTGCATTGGTGATATTGAAACCCATAAATAATAAAGAATAAATGTTGAATAAACAGGGTTTTATTTATCTTTAAAAAATTTTTTTTGTTGTAATGACAACTTTATGGGACAGCAGTATAGCACAATTTGAGATTTATAATGAATAATAATGATATAATTGCAATACTAGTCTACTACAAAATACTGTGTATATTCACAATCAGTTAGTAATTATAGTGTTTCTAACCCCCTAAAGGTTGGAAAATGAGCAATTCCGCGGATACATTTTTCGACGAAACGAAACCATTTCCGACCTGTGGGGTGTCACTGTTAATTTAATAAAATGTCAAGTCTGCAGCGCCTAAGAAGTATTAATATTTTACCGAAATAAACCATAACCATAATATTACGGAGGTGGATTTTGTTTATGATTGTTATAATGTTACAAACATCGAAAAAGTACTATTCCTGTCTACAGGAATGGAATATTTTCGCCTCGGTATGTAATATACTATAATCTACTTATCTGTTACGGTTATAATAATAGTATTTCCAGTTTTATAGTATGAAATCGTGTGGCTCCCACCAGTTGAAAAACCCGCTGCGGCGCTGATGGCAAACTTCTGGTTAATTCTAAACCAGGTGCTTGACTTGTCGCCAAACCAAAAAGTCATAGTGAAAGGAGAGTTCGATGCGTAATAGTTCACTTCAATTCTCTTTTCAACAAATTTTCCTGCAGAAATTGCCTGATTCTGGAACCTCTGTATTGGACCATTCCCTTTCTCAAAATCGAAACTGTCTACGCCAGTCACAACGGTTGTTATGATGTCTTGTTTTGACAAATTTTGAATCATCAGATGAGTTTCTTGGCTCCGAGCAGAGACCGAGGCGAAAAACAGACCGAAGAAAAGGCAAAAAAATATCGGTTGCATTTTGACTAAAAAAGAAAAAAATCATAAACATAATAGGAAAAAATAATCGTCGTTTGAACTTACGTTTTGTGTGGAGCACTAGCACTTTTGAGATACCTTCTGAACTGGCATATCGCTGCGTGGTTATATATAGTATTTAAATATGTGGCAATTTCTTATAATAATAATTGTGACATTAATAAATAATACTAAATAAACAGACCTTTATTTGCTGCAGGTATTACACAGCTATAGAAATAGTATTTTATTACAGGTATTTCATAAGGGGATTATTGTGGCACGAGTGAGTCAAATCAACATTTACGTGATCATTTAACACAAAAGGAAGCAAATAGATGCAAATATTCTGTTGGGCTAGTTATTATTAACAATGTACACTGGTTTCAACTTTCGACCACCTTAGTAGGAGTATCCTTCTATTCTTGATTAAAAATATGAATAGGATAAGAGATTAATCGATTGTCAGTGATCCCCCTTTTCTCTGACAGAAAACACACAGACAATTATAGTCTTTGCCATTTCTATTGAAACACCACTTGTTAATCGATTTTGACAACGTTCATATTCAGACAATTTTCTAACTAAAAGCCGTTTTCAATCAACCGAAAGCTGTTACCAATTGCTAAATTTTAAGCAAAATCAACAAGTGGTGTTTCAACAGAAATAGCAACGACAATACTTTCACAAAATTTACATTTTAACGAATCAAAAATTGTCAAAATTCAAAAACTGTTAATCAGAGCAGGTACTTCTTTTGTTTCGTTCTTCCAGAATCTACATTTCACCCAGGAAATGATCTTCGTACGATTTGGAATTGTCATGAGTCATAACTAAACATGGAAATGTTCGAATCTGGAATCGTTGCGTTTAGTTAGACAAGTGTTGCAAAATGGTATAAAATAGGTTATTATTTCATATAATTTCGCCATTGATAAGAGTTTCAATACTTGGGTTGCTGAAATGTTTTCGTAATCGCTGATCATATTGGCAACCTAGCTCGGAAGCTTATAAGTGTCTTGGTTTTATTATTCGATCGAGTGGTTGTTTCAAGAACATAGACACTCTCAAAGCCTTATACTTTGCTTTCGTGAGGTCGAAGTTGGAATATGCAAGCATCGTGTGGGTCCCTTCTGCTCAAAGCCACACTTTAGCTCTCTAAAAAATCCAGAGGCGTTTTCTAAAATTTTTGGCGTTCAAGGTTGATGGTAAGTATCCTGTGAGAGGGACACCTTATTCGGATCTTTTACAAAAATTTAATTCCGTTGACTTGAAAGCGAGACGTGATAAAGCCTCACTTTTCTTTTTTGAGAAAATCATTTGACTGTCCATCGATTCTGGGTCAACTTTGCTTTGGTAGACCTTCCGCTAGCTTTCAACATCTTTAGGGGGTAGCAGTAATTATAGCTGTTGATTAGTCGGACAACTGTTCAAATTGTAGGTACTTTTTCATGTATTTTTCCATCTGTTTGTTGATCTATAAATGGGCTAAACGCCTGTTGATCAACTAATCAATAATAATAATAATATAAAGAGCATGTCTGTTTTTTCAGAATTCGAAAACATTTTAAAGCAAACGACAATTGAAAATATTTGGCTGACAGAAATAATTTGTCATAATTTTGATTCTGATCATTGCTTCTATGCGTTCATTATTATTTAAAAATAAAAATTGATCAAAGCTGTTTATGAAACGTAAACGAAATATTCAGGCGTGAACAGATAAAATGAACACCTAGTATACTGGATATTCGCGTGGTGTTATGTGCCAGTTTCGAAATAGGGTGCCCGTGGACTTGTAGTAGCATGACCTGTAATTTTTATAATTTAATGGTTCTTGTGGTTGGTTATCTTGGCTAAAACAATTTTTTCTGCTTTTAACAAAAGCTTCTTGAACAATCTGAAAAATAGATACCATGAAAAAAATCAATCATTTACTGTTGGCTATTCTTCCAGTTTCCTCTTGTTCATTGTTTTTTTCAATTTTAGAGAAATGGAATGGGCAATTCGCCGGCTTTCTGCCAAGCTAGCACTAGAGCATTTTGCTACCACGAAAAATGTCTTCAAATTAGTAAACTTGAAAAGAAATAAAACCAGCTATTCGTGTTACGAGACACGTATAAAAATAAATTTGTAAATATTAACAAATAACTTTATCTTATCATTATCACGCTGTTGGTTTATTCCAATAATCAGCAACTTTCGATATGAATTCTTAAGGGTCACTGGTGGTTTTCTTTTCTTTAAATTTGGAAGAAATCGCTAAGATAAAACAGCTAAAAGAAACAACAGGAATACAATCCGGTCATGGTCGTCCTACGGCCTACCTGGCGGCTACTCCTCACTGGTTGGAGCTGCTTCGGATCCTGGGGAGACTGAAACGAAAACCGTTCAACACTCTTGTCGCTCATCTTTTTACAGTCGAAAACTCTAAAGTCTTTTGGAATTTTATCTTGAATAAAAGTTGTTTTGGTGCCTCTAGTGTTTTGCTTCATAAATAATTTACCTTTCTTACATAAAATCGATGAACGCGGTGGGGTTAAAATACAAATTACTAATAATTTTTAAGCCATTTAGTCATTTTGATATTATGTATTTATTTACATTATTTCACATTTTTACAATATTCAGTGTTATTAGTACAGCTACATTTAAAAAAATATAAAAAAATAAAAGCATGGGCATTCTGCTGCAGTACAAATATCTGCTGCTTCAGTAAGTAAGTGACATCATTTTCCTGGAGAATTTTTGACGCAGTTCTCTAAGAACTCTAGCATCTTAAGACGATAGAGTCGATTATTACGTGCATAATGGTGGCTCAGCCGGCCATCCTTATCTGGAACATTTATGTCTGCTCCATGGGCTATTAGCAACTTTAGTGTATTTAGATTACCTCTTTCACAAACATAATGAATTGGTAACATTCCGTTTACATCTGCAACATTTACACTCGCACCTTCTTCGATTAAAAACTCTAATATCTCGTGATTACAAGTCTTACACGCGTAATGAATTGGTAGCTGTCCATGCGTATCACAAGCATTTATTTCGGCACCATTTCTTACCAGAAATCTTACCAAATCTATTTCACCACGTTTGCACAAAAAATGAATAGGCAACAGACCATTTGTGTCTGGAATATCTAAGCGTGCATCATGTTCTACCAAAAATTTCAATACATTTTTATTTGCTTTTGGCCAAAATTTAAACGTTGGATTGGCGTTAGTCCAACGTGAAGGTATTCTGTGGTTCAGTTCACACGCAAAATGTATCGGTAGATCCCCTTTCGTGTTAGGAACATTGATGTCTGCTCGTTTTTCTAGTAGAAGTGACATAATTGGAAGACCAAAATCATGATTGAAACACGCAAAATGCATCGGGAGATTACCATTTAAATCCGGGACATTTACTTCTGCACCTTTAGCCAGAAGTAGATTTACTATCTCTAGGTCACCATTGCAACAAGCATGATGCAGCGGCAGTACGCCCAATGCATCTAGAGCATCTATTTTCGTGCCATATGCTATCAGTACTTTTGCTATATCGGAATATCCTTTTCGACATACGAGGTGAATGGGCAATTGACCGTTTTTGTAAGGAATATTTACTTTCGCACCATTTTCCAACAAAAAGGTTATTACATGTAAATGGTGTTTTAGACACGCATCGTTTAACAGCAACTGAGCTTTTTCATCAGGAAAATCGAGCTTCGCACCTTTCGCTACCAAAAGATTTACGAGATCTACGTTTCCAGAATCGATCGCACAATGTAGTGGTAACCAACCGTCTGCATCTGGAACATTTAAATCCACGTCTTTTGATATAAGCAAATTTAGGAAGTTTATATTTCCTTGTTTACACGTGGGATGTATCAATGACTGAACATATTTATTTAAGATATCTACATCAGCGCCGTGCCCTAGTAGAATTTCGATTAAACCAAGACATCTTATTTCGCAGGCGTAATGTAAAGGTTGAAGACCACCTGCATCCACGACATCAAACTTCGCACCATTCATGACCAAAAAGCTTACCCCAGCTATATAGCCCATTTTACACATATAATGTATCGGAAATCTACCATTTCTATCGGGAACATCTATTTTCGCCCCGTTATTTAACATTAGCTTCAGCATTGCTAAATTGCGTGTTTCGCAAATATAATGTACTGGAAGTTGCCCTTTTGCATCAGGAACATCTATTTTTGCACCATTCTGTATCAAAACTTTTGCTAAGTTTATTTTCTGATGTTTACAGGCATAGTGGATAGGGCAGCAACCATTTGCGTCCGGAACATTTATATCACAACCAAAACTGATTAGTAATTTTAATGTAACCACACTTCCTTCGATACATACATTGTGAATTGCAAATCGACCATTTGTATCAAAAGCATCCCATTTAGCATTTTTTGCATTTAAAATAGTGAGCATCTTGTGTAAGTGGTATTTGGTAGCATAGTGCGTTAGAAATTGACCTTTGGAATTTGGAATATCTAATCTGATTTCTACATTTAACAAAATATAAGCAAATATTTCATCTATCTCAAGAGGACGAAGACCTAGAGAGCTTACAGAAAAAATAACTCCGTAAGATTGGTGATTTAAGAAAAGTTGTTCTAGGATACGTTGTGACCTGTAGTACATTGCCAGAGTTAAAATACTGGCGAAATTGATGCTATCAAACGCTTTCTTCAGTTTGGGAGAACATTTAATATACTCAAAAATTACGACAAAATCAAATCGAATCGCATAATATAGAATCACTTTTAGAAAATTTTGATTAGAGCAACTTTTTTTTTCGTAATCTGGAATTAAAAAAGGGAAGAAAAGTAGCAACTTTTTTGTACGAGTGTCGATTGATATGTTCATCTTGCGAAAAATATCTGATATATGCATATAGTCTAAGTCACCTATATGTCCATTATTAATTACCCAATCTCTGTGGAATTTCTTACCCTTAGTTATACGTCCTTTATCCTCGGAACAATTATAATTTTTAGTACGAGCACATGCTACTTCTAATAGATCGCGACCGATGAAATCTTTTTCGTTCAAATCTAGATCAGTACATTCATCCAAAAGTATAGGGTTTTTGTACACTACAGCGATAAAACCTTTAGAATTTTTGCATAGCATTAAATCTAAAAAAAATCGGATATTATCGAAGTGACCGTCAGAGATGAATTTTTTATCGCGTACTATTGGTGGATCAATTTCAAAAAGATACAGAGCGGCAAAATATTCGCCATACGAGTTGTGATTAAATTCAACACTTCCATTATTTGCAACTCCACATATAAACCCTACAGCATCTCCCTTATTTTCTATTGTTTCCAAAAAAATTTTTAATTGATGTTCGTAATTTGCATCGATTTTTGTCACAGAGAGATTGTCTAAGTAACAACGAGCAGCTACACTTTTGTAGCACTTGAGTTTAGTTTCCTTTTCGTCTTCAAATTGTTGAAATATATGCTCCACAGATAAATCAAGTTTACTTTTGTCTTGATAAAAAACTTTAAATTTTTCGTCTACGAAATGTCGATATAAATCGAGCACGGTGAAAACGCTATCTAATAAATTCAAATATTTTTCCTTGTCTTTTAAAAATAATTCAGTCAGCATATAAATCTGCAGAGGAATGCCCAATATTTCGTAATTTGGAAAAGACATAATATTTTTCTTAATTTTAATAAACGTCGCGGTTAAATCGTCCGCCGGAATTTCCAAACGCTCTTTCAGATATTTTCGTTGTTCTTCGTCGTCGAATTGTTTGATATTTCGCGAAAAACTACCTAACCTGTTTTCCAGTTTAGTTTTCAAGTTGTTCCGTGATGTTAACCATTGTTGTACCCCGCTTTGTGCTAAAGTCTGTACTAAAGTTAAAATCGCTTCTAGAGTGGCATCTGTAACTTCGTCCAGACCATCCCAAATTACTTGTATGTTATTTCGCTCCAGCATTGCTTTGAATACTTGTTGGTCGATGTTGGAGCACTTTTTTCTAACGTTGGTAAAGATATATTCCTTGAATTTTTCAACGTCGGCCCCATTTTCTCTAAAGTGAGTAAAGTGATTTCTGGCATAGATCACGATCGTCCATGTTGCAGAGGAAGTGTTAGTTTTTAAGCTCTTCATCAACGTGCTCTTCCCCATACCCGGTTCAGCGCAGACAATGTTGACATCTTGTTCTCCACTGTTAAAAAGTTCAGACTGGTGCAACGTATAAACGTTGAATTCATCGTTCAAACGAAATGTTTTGAGTTCGTTGAAGCGTTGCCCTTGTGAATTTTCACTTCTTATCCACTCGAAATATTGGTTGTCAAAGAAACGAAAAAAAAAAACTTCTGCTTGTGGATTCTTCGTGATTACAAGCTTAAATTCTTTTAGTGAAATGTGTTTTTCGCATATATAAATCTGTTGACAGACCATTTCTCGTTCGTTTATCTCAGATATTTCTTTTATTTCTGCCCCAGGCAACAGATTTTTAAATTGTTGACAATCTGCGACGCCGCTAACAAAAACCACCCTCTTTCCAGATTTACGTTTCAAAAATTCGATGTCTATTAAAATCTTCGTTAGACTTCTTTCAATGTGACTAGGTGGTAAAACTTCTTTTTGGTTACCTATTGGCAAAGGACCTTCCAGCATTTCTACCACTTCATCTGAAGTGATCAAAGAATCGATTTTTTCACATGCTTCTAGTAAATGTCTCAAACAAGCCTCCTTTTGTCCTTCTATAGAAAACGTGAAAGTGGTCAGAATTTTTTCGTATAATTCCACTTGTTCTTTCAGATCGGACAATTTTTGAAACACATTCTGACCAAGTGTAGTTTTATTGTTCTCATCGACTGATTTTGTCGCAGCTTTCAACACGATGACATTTTTGCAGCCAATTTTAAATGTTCCGTAAACTTGTGGACATTCTTGTACAACCAAAGGACATTTTCCAAGCAACCACATCAACTTATTCACCTTTAACGGATCGTCCCTGAGCAGATCTTCTTTGAATTGGAACGTCGTCAAGAAAAGTAAATATTTACCATTAATTTTCCCCACTTCTGTTAAATCTTGTAACTCGTTAATGGTGTCCGACCAAAGGTGACTAATTTTCTCATAATTTCTTTCGTCGATAATGCTGAAGTCGAATTTTGAAACCACCTCTCTAAAGATCGTTTCTTTTTCGTTAACAGATCTCGTGGCATCAAATGACAATGGTCTGACATGGGGTGACAAAACGCATAATGTAATAAAACGCGTCATCCAGCTTTTGTCCAGCTTTAGTTTGTTACCCTCTTTCATATTCCACTGGGTTATAAACTGTAAGTACTGGCTGACGATGGATTCGTCACACATAAAATTTTTCTTCAACATTTCACGTACATCAATGGCAAGTTGCGTAACATCGGCTTGACCAGTGTAGAGGTAAAACTTTTCGAAAAACTCATCATAATCACTTGACTCTTCTTGATTTTTGTTAATTTTGTGACAACAAGGTTTTCTCGATGAAGAATTGAGTAATTTATTTTCTTCGCTTGGTACAAAATCTATCACGAGTTGACGGAAATCTAACAGTTTGGCCTCACTGATATTTAACGAGGTGTTGGTAAATAAAATCATCTTAACATTTTGTTGCAGTTTTGAATGTTTACTGAAAGTGTCATAATATTTCTCGATGCTAAAATTTCTCTTCCCTGTTTTGGCGGTCAATTGAGCTCTTCCTAAAGGAGTTTTCTTGTCGACGTGTTTTAACTGTATGGCATATGTTTCTGTACGATTTTTAAAAACTATTTCAACAACGACGTCGTCGAAATCACCAAAGTCTCCGTCATTTGAAGACAAATAAAAGTTTTCGACATCATCATCAAGCGTCAGTTTTAAAATTAGATGTGCCATATACAGATCCTCGTAATCTTTTCCTTTCTCCGTGGTACCGCTTCTCTTCTTAAATTTCTGAAAAATAAATTTGATAAATTTTCTTCAAAGTGAAAATTTGTTTTGCCGATTTTTCTTTAAACTTCAGGAACATGCGAATATAGAGCGCAAGTAGTTAATGTGAATCTTACTTGTAACTTGTAAATGTACTTACTTTTTCTCTGCCTGGATTTGATGCGCTAGATCCTTCTTGATTTTCTGAATCCAGATCATCTCTTAAGTCACTCATTTTTTGGAGAGAATAGATTTGTACCAACTAATGTAGTCTCCTAATTAACAAATATAAATATCAGAAATATTGTAAAAAAGAAAGATTATTTTACCAATATAAGTTAGAAGTGCATTTACATATGTGCTTAAATTATGTTATCTTTGCATTTTTTGAGTCATAGATAAGGAAAATATTTTACCAGAATTAATAACACGTTTCCATTACGATAATACAATATATGCTAAATTATAGTTGGTAATTTTTACTTACCGTTTTCTAGTAAACCCCATTTAATAACATTGTGTCCAAACTTGAGAACAACTAAGATATTTAACTAAACAATAATTTGAGCATTCGTGTTTCGAGACTCACAAGAAAATAAATTTTCCGCTGTTGACAAATAATTTTATCTTATCACTTATCAGTACTGACTACTTAATTCCAATGATCAACAAGTTTCGACATTTTATCAGTATTTTTTAATAATCGGTCATGAGTTTTGACAAGATTAATGCGAAAACCTGAAAAACATACCAAGTTTCAAGAAACTCGGCAAACAAATTGACAATTGTGAACTGACGTGCTAACATTTCTGCCAATAGTTCAAATAATTGTAAGCCCCAAAATTTGCTTCAGTCATTAATAGTCACCCGGTAGTTAACTTGTATGGCAATTTGGTGACCTCAAAATATTAAAAACCAGTGACATAAATAACACAACCTTTTTTTTGTTTCTTCAGTTTTTCGATTTCAGTTTCTCAAGTTTTCAGTTTCTCGACTGTCGATTTCATTTTCTTTATTTTTTTCCATTCAATTTTTCAATGTTTCCATAACATATTTTTGGGTTTTTAAATTTGAATTTTTTCATTTTTTGATTTGGAATTCTTCTAGTTTTCATTTTAAATAATAATTATGAATTTTAAAATGTTTCACTTTCTCAATTTTACGATTTTAGGATTTTTCCTTTTTTCAGTTATTGGATTTTCAAACTGTTTCATTTATCCCAGTTTTCAATTTTTAAGTTATCAATGTGTCGATCTTTCAGTGTTACGGTTTTTCAAATTTACAATTTTAGCGATTCTACAGTTTTTCGATTTTACAATATTTGGGTTTTCCAAATTTTTCGATTCGATTTGTTTTTCTTGTTTCCAATTTTTTCGATGCATTAATTTTTTTCGACTTTTAAATTTTTCGAATGAAAAAAATGGAAAAATTGCAAAACTGTAAAATTGACAAATCGAAAATTAAAAAACGAAAATGTATAAAATTGAAACTTTAAAAAATGTAAAAACTAGAAATCAAGAACTTTGAAGAACCGAAAAATGCAAAAAATCGAAAAACCAAATATATATTGTAAAATTGAAATATTTAAAATTATAGAAGTCGGAAAATATAATTGAAAATAAAAAAACTGAAAAAGTGAAAATTAAAAAGAATGGAAAATCGAGGAACCAAAAAAATCCAAGATTGAAATTTTGAAAAATTGAATAAACGAAAAATTATAAAACGAAAGAAACATTGAAATAGATAAAAGAAATGAATAAACGAAAAATTTACAATTTTTACGATCTTTAAAATCTTCGCAGTGTTCACAATCTTCAAAATCTTTACAATTATTGAAAACTTCGGAATCTTCAGAATTCTGGGAAGACTCGGAATCCTCGGAATCTTAAGAATCTTCGAAATCTTCGGATTTTTCGAAATCTTCGGATTCCTTAAATTCTTCGGAATCTTCAGAACGTTCAGAATTTTCAGAATGTTCAGAACCTTCAGTATCTTTATAATCTTTAGAGATTTTGTAATCTTTCTAAGTTTTTGAGAATATTTGAAATCCTTGAACCCTTAGAATGCTTAGAATTCTTAGAATTCTCGAAATCCTTTTTTTTCAGGATCTTTTTGGTCTTTAGGATTTCTATAATCTTTACGATCTTTGGGATCCCTGAAATTCGTTGAATCGTTAGAAAACTTGGAACCCTTGGAAGCCTTAGAATTCTTATAATTCTTGGAATCTTTATAATAATAATGATGGTTTATTTACTGCAAACGCTAGCTTTAAAGAGAACCTTTATTTTTTTTTAGAAACTTTTCAAACCGTACAATCCTTGAAATCTTTAGAATCTTTATAACCCATATATTGAAAGCCTTGGAACTTTCGAAACCCTCAACACATTTGTAAAAGTCAGAATTCTTGGAGTTCTTGGCATCCTTGGAACCCGTGGCATCCTTGAAATTCTTGGAATCTTTGAAATATATAAAAACTTTAGGACCTTTGGAACGTTTGAAACGCTTGGAATGCTTGCAATTCTTAGAACCTGTAGAAACTTTGAAATCTTTAGAATCTGCGGAATAATTGAAATCCTTGTAATCCTTGAAATCTATAGAAATTTTTGTATCATTTAGATACAATGATACTAAACCTTCTCCAATTGTCCAATTCTCTTGAATAGCTTGCGAACAATTGGAACCCTTGGAATGCTTGTAATCTTCAAAATCCAAAAAATTTTAGACGTTCTAGGACCTTTAGAAGCTTTAGAATCTTCAGAATCTTTAGGATCTTCATCTTCTTTAGAATCTTCAGAATCTTTAGGACTTTTATGTTCTTTAGAATTTTTGGAGACCTAGAATCTTAGAAACTCTAAAATTTTATAGAATCTCTAGAATCTCTAGAATCTCTAGAATTTCTAGAATCTTTAGAACTTCTAGAAAAACTAAAAACTAGAAATTCTACAATCTGAAATTTTTGGAATCATTGGAATCTAGCGAACAGTTTTTGGGTTTCTGGGGTTTCGGAAACGAAAAACTGAAGGAATGAAAATTTTCATGATCGAAAATCTAAACGTTTGAAAAACTGATAATTAGAAAAATTCAAAACGAAAAATTGTAAAATCGAAAAACTGTAAAATTGAATAACTCTAAATCAAGAAAGTTAAAAATCGAAGTAAGAACGTGAAATAAATTCGAAATATTGCAAATCGAAAAATTGTAATATATACATATATCAAAAATCGGAAAATTGAGATATTGCAAAACCAGAAAACTAAAGAATTTTTGAAAATTCAATAATGGGTGTAAAAGATGCTCACTCAACATAGCAACTAAAAACTAATTCGTTAAGAAAAATATAGAAATTGAAAAATCCAAAAACTGTAAAATTGTGAACATTTCAGTTGTAATAAATTTGTACTTTTTGTTCGCAATCTGGGAAAATGAAAAAGTATAAATTGAGAACTTGAAAAATTTAAGAGCTAAATTAAAAATTGAGCAATCTAAAAAATCGAAATTAATGCATTAAACATAAAAACTGAAAAACCAAACCACTGAAAAATCATAAAATCGAAGAATCACAAAAGCTGGGAAAACGACAAACTGAAAAATCGAATGTTCAAAATTCAAAAAATTGAAAATGTAAGAATAAAAACTAAAAAAAATAAAATCAGACATTTGTAAAACGAAAAACTGAAGCAATGAAAAATTGTAGGTATGTTCGTTTACAGATAATCTCAGAGTTAGGTACCGCCTTTAACAAAATTGATGGAAAACTTGATAATGATATTTTACCGTCGAAATAAAGTGAATCATAAACAACAGAAACTAAAGCAAATTTTTTCGAATTTATATATTAAATATAATAATTAATAAAAAAATGATTTTCTGGCACAGAAAAATTACCCATTACCCGGTTTTTGTCTTGCTTCAAATTTCATTTTTTGCCAAAAAATGTATACCTACCTGAACTCCTGAAAACGCAAGCAAGACAATATATGAAATTTTTTCAGTACTTAGATAATGGACAAACATGATATTGTATTAGCCATTAGTCATTAATCAACTCAAAATTCTGCAATTTACCCAAAGAATATCTATTTCACAAAAAAAAACTCAAACAAAATATTAATAAAATACAGATTTTAAAAAACTTTCATCAAACCCGCATATGTGTCTGAGAATTATAAGTTATAACGTTTCGATGGTTTTTCAATCTTCGCAGACTAGACTACATCTTAGCTGGATGTCTTTTAATGTACTTCAGGGGCAACCAATTTTACTGACTTATATAATAAAAAAAGAAAATTCCAGAAATTAAACTAATCGCTTGTCCAAGAATCTGCATTTATTCGCTTATGCTTCAGGGGTGAGGAAAGTTCTCTAATTCTTGTGAAATTATTATTATTATTTTATTATTACATAAAAGTACTACATAATAATTTTATACATACTTATTATTTTGCTAATTTTGTTTGTAACTACATAAAATATGGGCATTCCGCTGCAGTCTTTAGAAAAAACTTCAACTTACATATATATGATAATAAAATAAAAAATACCTTTTAAGACAAAGTTTAAAACAGCAACAACAATCTGTTGCAGAAATAACTTAACTATTAACCTAATTACATGTACTTTAAAATTGTTTGTTACTAATACACTTGCAGACTTTTATTGAATCTGAATAAAACTAAGCTCCACCTCAGTCATGCATTAGCATGACTTTCATAATACTGTATATAAATTAAAGTCTTTCTGAGATATATTCCATGAACTTAATAGAGCTATAAAAGCTTCAGCTTAAAGCACAATAATAATAATAATAATAATATAATATTAATAAGAATAATATTAGTCTTATTAAGAAAGTTGACGCAAACGAGGACGCTTTTGGAGAATCGTTACCGTTAATTTCTAGAAATTTCAGTATTTCTTGACGGTGGAAATAATTCTTATCTGCATATTCGCGGACCCGACGATCACTTATATCTGCACCATATGCCACTAACAATTTCACTGTACTAAGAGACCCTCCCTCACAAGCCGCATGTATCGGTAACACACCCTTTACATCTGCAACATTCACACTCGCACCGTTTTCAATCAAAAACTTCACAATTTCGTCACTATGAACATCCCATTCACACGCGTAATGAATCGGCAGCCGTCCACATTGATCAGAAACATTCAGATCAGCTCCTTTCTCTGCTAGCAGTTTTACCAGTTCTGGTTTATTTTGTCTGCACACCGAGTGCATCGGAAACCTTCCATTCGCGTCTGCAATGTCTAAACGCGCACCACGCTGCACTAAAAATTTCACTACAGATTCGTCAATTCCTTTCCACAATGGAAAACCTAGACTGTGATAACCGAAATTCGAAGCCGTTCTGCAGCTCGGTTCACACGCAAAATGTATGGGTAGATGGCCTATTGCGTTACGAACATTGACGTCTAGATCTTTTTCTAGGAGGAGCGATATTATTGGAAGACCAGATTTATCATTGAGACATGCGTAATGTAACGGTAGATTACCATGTAAATCTGGAAGATTGCCTTGTGCACCTAGGCGTAGTAGTAGCTTTACTAGATTCACGTCAGCCCTCAAACACGCATAATGCAATGGCCGAAGACCAATTTCATCTAGAACATTTAATTTTATTCCAGAAGTTACCAATTTTTTTACTGCATCTGCACTTCCACTTTTCACTGCACAGTGTATTAGCAACTTACGATCTCTTTTTTTTCAAAACGTTGAGAATTGCACCATTTTTTAGCAACAGGTTTAATACTTTTGAATGTCCTCTTTCACATGCATATTGTATTGGATATTTACCGTTTCCATCTTTAACATTTATCACAGGTTTATCAATGTTAATTAGGAATTTGACAATATTTGTTGCTCCTTGCTCACACATGTAATGAATCGGTAGCTTGCCTTTTGTATCCGGCGTATTAACACTCTGGCCTTTTTCTACTAAAAACTGTACTATTTTAAAGTCACGGAAATAATTTTCGCAAGCATAATGAATCGGCAGTTGCCCGTTTACAGCCTCCAATTTCGCACCCTTCGTGACCAAAAACTCTACTACGTCTACATCGCCACTTTGACACATATAATGTATCGGGTATTTACCATTTGTGTCAGGAATATCTACTTTGGCCCCCTTCTCTACCATTAACTTCACCATTTCCGTATTGCCTTTCTCGCACATGTAGTGTATCGGATACCGTTTATGTCTATCAGGAGCGTCTAGCTTTGCACCCTTCTCTACTACAACTTTTGTTAATTCTGTTGTATCATATTCACATGTATAGTGGATAGGCAAGTAATCCTTTCCGTCTGGAAAGTCTATATCGCAACCAAAATCGATGAGTAACTCTAGTGTCTCCACATTTCCTGTCATACATGCATAGTGAATTGCACAGCGATCTTTTGCATCAAAAGCATCCCATTTTGCTTTTTTTGTATTTAGTACTTTGAGTGTCTTATGTAGATTGTTCCTAGAAGCATAGTGCGTTAGAAACTGACCTTCGGAATCTGGCTCATCTAATGAAATGTTGACATTTGACAAAACATCCGCGAATATTTCGTCTAGTTGAAGAGGAGTTAGAGCTAAATAGCTTACAGAATAAAGAACCTGATAAGATCGATCATCGAAGAAAAGTCGTTCTAGGATACAATGTGATCTGTAATACATTGCCAAAGCTAAAATATTGCCGAAATTAATGCTTTTATATATTTCCTTAGTTGAGGGCCAATATTCAACGTAGTCAAAAATTACAACAAAATCAAATCTGATGGCATAATATAGAATCATCGTATTTAAATATTCTTGATCGAAACGATATTCTTCGGAAAGTAGAATTAAAAAAGGCAAGAAAAGGAATAACTTTTTATAGCGAATATCATTGATTGATGTATTACTACGAAAAGTAGGTCATATCTGCGTATAGTTTAAGTCACCACTGTATCCTCTATAAACTACCCAATTTCTAAGGAATCGGCCATCATGAAGTATACTTTTATTTTTAGGGTAAGCATAATTTTTACTGTAAGCACATGCCACTTCTAATATTTCACGACGGATGCCATCTCTTTCGTTCAACTGTTCATCAGTGCATTTATCTAATAGTATAGGATTCTTGTATAAAACTGCGACAAAACCTTTATATGTTTGGCATAACATCAAATTTAAAAAAAATCGGATATTATCGAAGTGACCGTCAGAGATGAATTTTTTATCGCGTACCATGCAACGACAGGTTTCTGAAAGATACAGTGCTGCAAAATATTCACCGTACGAGTTGTGACTAAACTCAACAACCTCATCACTCGTCATTTGGCATATAAACCCCACAGAATCCCCCTCTTGTTCTATTTCCTGCGAAAACTTTTCTAATTGACGTTCGACATTTTCGTCAGTACTAATTGTCCCAGAGACCAGATTCTTTAAGTAATAACGAGCAGCTACAATTTTATAGCACTTGATTTTTTTTTCTTTCATGCGTTCGTATTTCTTAAAATTCTTCTCCACAGAACAATCTACATTGTTCTTTTCTTTATAAAGTTCGAAATTTTGGTCTACGAAATGTTGATATAAATCGAGCACTGTAAAATGATTGTCTAATAATTTCAAATATATTTTCTTGCGGCTTAAAAACAACTGAGTTAGCATAAAAATTTGCAGAGGAATGCCCAATATTTTATTTTTCGGAAAATGAATAATATATTTCTTAATTTTACTTAATATTAAGTTTGATTCGTCGGCCGGTCTCGGCACACGTTCTTCAATGTATTTTTGTAATTCTTCCTCGTTGAATGGTTTTATATTTCGCGAAAGACGACCTAACCTGCTTTCCAGCTTAGTTTTCAAGTGGTTCCGGGAGGTTACGCATTGTTGTACGCCCCTTTCTGCTAAATTTTGCACCAAGGTTAAAATCTTCTTTAGTGTGTCATCTGAAACTTCGTCGAGACCATCCCAAATTACTTGTATCCTATTTCCATCCAGCATTGATTTGAATACTTCTCTCTCGAAATTGGAGTACTCCTTGTGGTCAAGAATATATTCCTTGAACTTTTCAAGGTCGGCACCATTTTTTCTAAAGTGGGAAAAGAGCTTTCTGGCTTTGATTACGATCGTCCATTTTTCAGAAGAAGACTTGTTTTTTAGGCTTTGCATCAATGTACTCTTTCCCATTCCTGGTTCTGAGCAGATAATATTGATATCTTGTTCGTTACTGCTAAAAAGCTCAGACTGGCGCAACGTATGATCCCTGGATTCATCACGCAAACGAAAATGATTAAGTTTCTTGAAGTGTTTCTCCGAACGAAAATTTTGACTTCTTATCCACTCCAAGCATTGATTGTTCACGTAGCGGAAATGATGAATTTCCATTTCTGGATACTTCGTGAATACTTCCCTCGAAATGTCTTTTTTACATATATAAATATGTTGGCGGTCGGGGAGCTCCACCAGATCTGTATTGTTTATGTCTGTAATTTCTTTTATTTTTTCACTTCCTAACAGTTTTTTAAATTTTTTACAATCTACTACACCGTCAACAAGTACAACGCGTTTTTCACTACCACGTTTCAAAAATTCGAAATGTATTAAAATTTTTGTCAGAGTTCTTTCGACGTAACAAGTTTTGTCAGGTAAAACTTCCGGTTTACCTATCAATAAGGGGCCTCCCAGCATCTCGACCACTTGATCTGAAGTGATTTTTTCGCAGGGTCCTAGTAGATGTCTCAGAGGAGTTTCCTTTTGTCCCTCTATAGAATACGTAAAAGTCGTGAGAATTTTTTCGTATAATTCCGTTTGTTCTTTCACTTGTTGTTTAAGATCGGACAATTGTTGAAACACATTCTGACCACGTGTAGTTTTATACTTCTCATCGACTGATTTTTCCGCATCTTTCAACAGGATGACATTTTTGCACCCAATTTTAAATGTTTCGTAAACTTGTGGACATTCTTGTACAACCAAAGGACATTTTCCAAGCAACCACATCAACTTATTCACTTTTAACGGATCGTCCCTGTACAGATCTTCTTTGACTCGGAGCGTCTTCAGGAAAAGTAAATATTTGCCATTAATCTTCCCCACTTCTGTTAAATCTTGTAACTCGTTGATGGTCTCCGACCAAAGTTGACTAATTTTCTCATAGTTTCTTTTGTCGATAATGCTGAAGTCGAATTTTGAAACCACCTCTCTAAAGATCGTTTCTTTTTCGTTAACAGATCTCGTGGAATCAAATGATAGTGGTCTGACATGGGGTGACAAAACGCACAATGTAATAAAACGCGTCATCCAGCTTTTGTCCAGGTTCAGTTTCGTACCCTTTTGCATACTCAACTCGGTTATAAACTGTACGTAGTGGTTGACGATGGATTCGTCACACATAAAATTTGTCTTCAACCTTTCACGTAGATCATCGGCAAGTTTCTTAACATCGGCTTGATCCGTGTAGAGGTAGAACTTTTCGAAAAACGCATCATATTTACTTGAACTGTCTTGATTATTTTTAATTGTGTGACAACAAGGAGTTTTTCGTGAAGTATTCAGTATTTTATTTTCTTCGCTGAGTACTAATTTTACTGGCAGTTGACCGAACTTGAACTCTTTTTCCTCGCCCATATTCAACGAAGTGTTGGTAAACAAAATCATCTTGACATCTTGTTTCAGCCTTGAACAATTATTAAAAGTGTCGTAATATTTCTCGATGCCAAATTTTTTTTTCCCCGTCAGCTGAGCTATTCCTATAGGAGCTTTGTTTTCGACGTACTTTAACTGTATTGCATATGTTTCCGTACGATCTTTAAATACAATTTCAACCACAACGTCATCGAAATCCCCAAATTCTTTATCATTCGAAGATAAGTAAAAGTTGTCGACGTGATCATCAAGCGTCAGTTTTAAGATTAAATGTGCCATACACAGATTCTCGAAACGCGTGCCGTTGTTCGTGGTACCCTTTCTTTTCTGAAACTCCTGAAAAATGAATTTAATTGAACCTAGAATTTTATTCAGTAAGGACTATTAATGAAAACGTAATAATGCAATTTTTTCCAGAGTAACCTAAATACTAAGACGATTATAATTTTCCATCCTCTGTGGAATTTGCTAGACATATTAAACCATCTCAATTTGAATTTTACATTATTTTGAGATTTTTCGACTGAGTTCAAATTTTTTTACTGAAAACTTTAGTTTTTATTGCGCGTTTTAAAAGAAAGGAAAAATAAGTTAAATATAAAATAGTGACCAATTATTTTGAAAAAGTGTATAAAAATGGTATCTAGAAATTAATGGAAATATGGTAGTTGAATGTTGTAACAGATTAAGAGTTTCTATAATAAATGTGTCAAAACAATTCAAAATCTCTCTTTTTTACCAAATTTTTTCAGTTCGTACCAAATTTTGAATGGATTGAAATAACAGCTGACGGATTTGACATTCAAATCCGTCTTCTTTTCTTATAAAAGAAAACTTGATAAATTTACGTATACCTGGTCACCGGACTTATCAAATATCAGTATACATATTTTATTCTTCATAAGAAACGGTTTAGGGTAGATAACGTTGTACGTATTTTTAAAATCTAATCTAATCTTTGGTACGATTTTTTAAGACGTAGAACTGAAATGAGTATTATGGACCGAAAGTAAATTAATGATGATAATAATAATTATAAAATTCACTTACTCTTTCTCCACTTCGACTTGACGCACTAGATTCTCCAGGGTTCTCGGAAGCCGCATGATTGAAGGCACCCATTTTTTGAGAGAGAACGAATTTGTGTCAATTGGTGTAGGCTACTAAACTAAGAAAGATAAATATCAAAAAAGGGAAATATTTTAATAGTGTTAATAACAAAACTACAGTTATTTATGTATTAAGGGCATAATCAGGGAGATTGGGGCACGAGGGAATGTTTAAAACCCGACGGAGGAGGGCTTTTAATTTCCCGAGTTTTATACTAGTGCATAATTTCGAGAATTATACACGTGGTACATTCAACGTTTTATTCTATTTTAGTTTCTAAACTATTTTTAACGAAATATTGAGTATTTTCGGCAAGACTGTGTAAATTGTGCCGATGCTAACTTTAATACATAGCTGGCTAATATTTTGATGTTGATTATTTAATAATTCGTTTTTCAAAATGCAAATTAAAGAAGCGGAAAACATTTATTCAAAAGAAAGTTTAGAAGAATTTGAAGTCGGTCAGGTAATTAATCATTTGATAAAATATTATTTTTCCAACTTAAAAAAATGTTGAATATCGAATTGAATAATTAATTGATTAGTGTAAATGAACAATCAATGCAAAAATCAATGCTTAGCGATTTTTGACAGATTTGTGCGATAAAGGCCAGCTTACGCCCCCATTTGGGTGCTTATAAACAAGATTACGATTCTAAAATAGAATAAAATATAAAATTAACTTACCGTTAGGTATATTACCCGTCGACGCTACTTGGGGACATTCATTGTATCTAAACTTAAAAAGAAATAGGACACTAAGTATTTTACTGAGCAACGTAACTATTCGTATTACGAGACACGTATGAATATAAATTTTTATATATTCACAAATAACTATCTTATCATTATCACTTATCAAGCTGTTGGTTTAATTCTAATAATCAGCAACTTCGATACGCACACGCTCTGGAAACTCCACTCCCCTGCTCATTTAGGCGCAGGGAAAGTGGATTTCCCGGGCAAGTCAGGTAAAGACTTCAGAAGAAAATTTTACCTGACTCTGAATTCATGATTTATGAATCAACAATTATTACACACGGATAAAACAGCTAATCCAGAAAAGGCGAATAAAATTTGGTCACGGTCATCCTACGGTCTCCCTGGCCGCGGTTCCTCGCAGAACGGTGCTGCTACGGATCCTGAGGAGGCGGCGAAACGGAGTTCAATACTGTCGTCGCTCACATCATAACTGACGAACATAAGGGAGTTAAAATAAAAGTTTATAATAATGTTCGGACTTTTTGTCATTTTGATACTATTCATTTACATTATTTCATATTTTTACAATGATCAATACTATGCTACAGTTACATTTAAAAGTTTATAAAAAAATAAAAACATGGGCATTCTGCCGCAGTACAAAAGTCTTTTGATGCGAAAACGTATCTTGAGGAAGTTAAAAGTGACTACTTCTGGAGAACATTTGACACAATTTTCTAAAAGTTCCATTATTTCACAACAATATACTATTGCAAAAAAACATTATAAGATATGTACTTTAACAATAAATAATTAAAAATATAATTTTGTTTTATTGGACATATTCAAATTAAGTAGTTGCATATGTATGTTTCGCATATTTAGCTGCACAATTTTCATTTCAGTAACAATAATTCATTCATCGTACCTTTATTCCTTCCTACACCGATTCCCAATGTTGGGCAGTATCTAGATACTTGTATTTAAATAAAGTATCTAGATACATTTTTGGGTATCTAGTATCTGTATCTAGATAAAATCGAATTTAAGCACAAAATATCTGTATCTAGATACAAAATTAATGGCGCAGATACAGATACATTTTTTTTTCACTTTTTTTCAGTAGTTATTACTTGAGTAATACTAGTAGTAATTTTTGATACTTCATGTTGGTGATTTTGGTCACATAAACAAAAAAAATTGGTCTAAAGAGTTTAGACAGTACTTCCCTCGCTGTCGGAAACTTAACGACTGCATGCCTATTGTGTTTTTTTTCTCATTACATTTTTGTAGTGGGAATTTAACAAAAAATTGCGATGACGTCATCAACATTTTTGCAAGGACACGTATATCAGTTGGGATAGATGTAGTGTAATACTAAGAATAAAATTATTATATTCTCAAATTTTCGGGAAAATGAATTGGGTCGTTTTGAATATTGATTTGTAATAATCAATAAAATAACGAAACAATTTACTCACGTATACGTATCAGAGGCAACTGAAAATCGTGTATGTATAAACATTCTTAATTTAAGATGACAGGCGTAACAGCATACGTAAGAGTCAAACAGAGAAACTGTAAACAAAACGACCATCGGTTTTATTGCTTCGACTTCCGCTTATTATATAAAACATTGGGTTTTATTTTAATTCTTGACGGTGAAATTCACAATTGGTTGATTATAAACATGTCTATTTCACATTCGCGGAACCAAGTGAGCGCATAAAACAAATGCAGGTCTGTAATGTTAAAGTCGATGTAAATAAGCGTGCTACCCTTATGTTTCAACCGAGTTTTTCCTTTAACAAATTTTTGTCTACCAAATTGGGTTGGTTGGGATGTAATACTAATAATAAGTGTTGCCTTTAATTTAATCAATAAAATAAATTGACTTCATTAATTTTTTTGAACCACCTCTTAAGAAAATCTAAAAAATATGAATGGAATGATAAATCACAAGTACAAACTCATCATATTTTTTGCATTTTAGATAGGATTTATTCAGCAAAATTTAAGGGTGACGTCATCAATTTTTTTAGGAGGGATGAACAAATACATTTTGAACAAAAGTTTACCATGCTTATAATAACTTTAAAATATTCCCAAGATTTCAAAGCATTCGGTTTTGTAATTCCTGATTAAATCGATAAAATAAATTCACGCTTTCATTAATTTTTTTGAGTCACCCTGCATATGCAAATCCAAAAATATGATTGGAATGATAAATCACAAGTACAGACTCATCATATTTTGTACATTTTAGATACGATTTATTCGGCAAACTTTTGAGCTGACGTCATCAGTTTTTTGTAGAAGATAACCAAATATATTTTGACTAAAAATTTATTATGCTCTTTATAACCTTAAAACATCTGCAAGATTTCAAAGCATTCGGTTTTGTAGTTCCTGATTAAATCAATAAAATAAATTTACGCATTCATTAATTTTTTTGAGTCACCCTGTATATGCAAATCGAAAAAATTTGAATGGAATGATAAATCACAAGAAGAGACTCACCATATTTTGTACATTTTAGATAGGATTTTTTCAGCAAAATTTTGTGGTGACATCATAAATTTTTTAGGGGGGACGACCAAATACGTTTTGATCAAAAATTTACCATGCTTATGATAATTTTAAAATATCTTCAAGATTTCGAAGCATTCGGTTTTGTAGTTCCTGAGTAAATCAGTAAAATAAATTTACGCTTTCATTTATTTTCTTGAATCACCCTGTATATGCAAATCCAAAAAATATGAACGGAGTGATAGATCACAAGTACAGACTGATCATATTTTGTACATTTTAGATATGATTTATTCGGCAAACTTTCGAGCTGACGTCATCAAGTTTTTGGAGGGGATAAGCAAATATATTTTGACTAAACATTTATTATGCTCTTTATGACCTTAAAACATCTGCAAGATTTCAGAGTATTCGGTTTTGTAGTTCCTGATTAAATCAATAAAATATATTTACGCATTCATTAATTTTTTTGAGTCACTCTGTATATGCAAATCCAAAAAATATGAATGGAGTGATAAATGACAAGTACAGGCTCATCATATTTTGTACATTTTAGATATGATTTATTCGGCAAACTTTCGAGCTGACGTCATCAAGTTTTTGGAGGGGATAAGCAAATATATTTTGACTAAACATTTATTATGCTCTTTATGACCTTAAAACATCTGCAAGATTTCAGAGTATTCGGTTTTGTAGTTCCTGATTAAATCAATAAAATATATTTACGCATTCATTAATTTTTTTGAGTCACCCTGTATATGCAAATCCAAAAAATATGAATGGAGTGATAGATCACAAGTACAGACTCTTCATATTTTGTACATTTTAGATATGATTTATTCCACAAACTTTTGAGCTGACGTCATCAAGTTTTTGGAGGGGATAAGCAAATATTTTTTGACTAAAGATTTATGATGCTCTTTATAGCCTTAAAACATCTGCAACATTTCAAAGCATTCTGGTTAGCAGATTAAAAATTAAATTTCAAAATGTTGTTTTATAATTTTGATTTTTTTTCCAAAAATCTGGACGTTTCGGGTGAAAAGTCGATTCAGAGTTGTAAACTACATGTGTAGGACTATGTTATTTTATACAATTGAATACCCATTTACTATGTACAATTTTGAAGTGACGTCATCGCATTAGTGGTGGGGATGATTAGACAAATTTTGGTTAGCGTTTTACCATCTACATGATATTCTTAATATAAGTACAAAATTTCACAACAATCGGTCGAGTACTTTCGGAGATTATCTGTCTAATAAAAATCCGGGACAACAGACGGACAGACGGACAGACGGACGGACAGACGGACAGACAGACGGAAATGGGAGACCTATTTCTTCGTCTTCTAGGGGTCATAAAAGATCGAGAAAACGTAAAAGTAGAGAGTCGGCCGACGGACTCGATTACAATACTTCCTTTGCTTACGCTCGGGAAGTAATAGAGGTAAGACGTCCACTAATAGTGTTCTGTCACGGAATTTTCATATTTTAAATACCATCATTTCCTACATTGTAGCCTTCAGTACTTATACATCTTTAAATATAATCATGAGGGGTAATAATTCTAAGCCATGGTAAGATGGTATTTTAAAAAGTATAAACCACAATTCACTATTCACTGCATTTTACGCTTGTCGCCCCAATGCATTTTATCTGTGTACCTGAGCAAGCCGGGTCCAGTAGGCCCGCTGTTTGTATTTGTGTTATCAAATAAGAGTAATTTTAATAGTAAAAATATTTGTTTAAAGTATGTTATTAGTTTTAGAAAATAATAATTGCGTGTTACATAATGATTAATTTTTTCAACTAGCACATATTAGTTTTGTAATCGACTAATCGAATGTTCAATACATACATTTCTCTCGCATAAATCACATATCTGTTACTGTTTTATATCTTTATTTTTCAAACAAATGTAGCATCTTTTCCTGTTGCCACATGTGTCATTTCTTGACTTTTTCATTGTTGGACCTAACGCGAGGCAGGCTTGGCAAGTCCGTTTTGCCCTAGAATGTGCCGATTATGTTTAAGTGTAAATCTTGGGCAATAAAATTAATATTGTTACAACCCTCGGTAGAATAACTTATCGTGATATATTCTCAGAAATCGTGAAACGAGATTAAAATAAAATGAATTTCAACAAAAATCTGAAAATTTAAAGTTGTACTCTGGTGATTCCGGTCTGCCAGGCAGCCTTTGATCCTATAAGGGGTTTAAATACCTTTCTAAGAAATCGTACTTATTTTGCCTTAAACGGAACCAGCAATTCTTCCTAAAATGTATATACCTGCCGCACCGGGATAGACGATTACCGGACATGGTCATAAAAACATCGTAAGCCGATGTTGAAGAATAATAATTTATGACAGGTTGCCGACAACAGAGCTTCAGCACAGAATAATCATTTCCCGTATTCTTTTGAAATATTAATAATTTTAATGCTGGAGATAATTATTAGATATACTCAAACACAATTTGGACACTGTAGTATGGGAATAAAAACAAAACAAATATTCTTTTTAAGTGCACGTAATAAATATTGCACAATCTGCGAC